CGGTATTTAAATTGCCAGTAGCGCTATTTATGGTGAATTTTTCTAAAAACCTGACTAAATAATGGATTCTTCTTGAGAACCTGCACTAGCCATGCGTGAACTTCTTTTTAACGTTTATTCAGCTTTGTGAGATTAACTACTTGCTTTGCTGTGTTCTAGTAATAGTAGAGATATCAAGTCGTGGTCACGTGTTTCATGAAAGTAGCTGTAATTTTCGATGAAGACGAATAAACCTTTGAGCCTTTATTGTATAATTTTTTTAAAAGAAGATACTTGAAGGCATCATTGAAAACTATGATTTCTGCGGCACAAATCATTGATTATTTTACTTCTTACTACAGCAGCTAAATAACGGCTTGAAGCGGAGGCGTAAAATTACTTATTTGTGCTATAGACCAAACTGTATAAATGAATAAGCAACATGACCAAAAACAACAAATTGGTTTTTTTTTTGCTTTGTAAACACGGACGTTTATTTATATAATTAAAAAAACATGGATGGTCAACTTTGAGCAACAAATATGATACTGATAACAACAAGCGGACATGTCATTTTCACTTTAAGGAAAAAACTCTTATTTAATCACTGCATAACAAAGATCAACCATCGTTTTTTATTTTTCAAATTTACTGCACCGGAACCGGATTTTGTGAACAATATAATGACGTTGTTGTCTGCAACTAATTCTTATCAGATGTTTCTTCCGCTTTTTGTTTACACTTTTTTTTCCAAATAATGTTAATTCTAAAAGCAAAATATGAATCTGTAACTGATACATTCAAACTTACTACGTTCACAATAATTTTTTTTGGACGCCAGAAGCGTAACAGGAACCACAGTAATATTAAATCCCTGCTTTTCTTCTCCAGTCTCGGTGACAAACCTTACCTGAACCAGAACAGCTAATAAATATGAAAATTTTATGTATTATTCCATCTATTTGCTCATTTTTTCTACCTGCTTTAGAAAAGAAATAATGACAGTTTATTGCATTGAATAAAGTTTTTTTTCGAAATAAAGAAACATAATTAAGTAAAAATAGTGAAAGCTAAAAAACAATACTGTTTACGATAAAACCACAAATGACGGTTTCATCAAATAAAACTCGTAAAAAAATCAAATTTTCATTGCTGTCTATCAATGCGACTTTACTGTCACCGTAGCACCTACAAGTTACGAGAGAAAATTGATTTTACTGAAGTAAAAAAGTAACTGATAAATTTAAGTTGCACATAATGCCAAAATGACGACGTGTGCCAGAATAGCAGAGAGAATTGTTCCAAAATTTATGTGTATGGCATACGAAATGGTCAAGTATTAGCCAACTTTGACATATTAATTCACGAAAAAAGAAAATGAATGAACTTAATACATTTCCGTATTTCTTCAGCTGAAAAGCAATTTTAGCGTTCACAAGTTTCCTCATCACTACTTCGTAGATATGAAAAATACCGCTTACGCAATAACCGAAGTTATTTTGCTGCAACTTTTTTTAATTATAAGAACAAAGTTTACACAAAAAGGTACTTTTAATACAAGAAACGAAACTGTGGCAAAAAAAGTTAAATCTTGTTCAAAAAATGTTTTTGAGGATTGCAGCGTTTAGTGTTGAAGACACCTTTTATTTCCTTTGCTACCGGTCGCAAAGTGCAGTTCCCAAATGCGATGAAATTACTCTTTAAATAATTGAAAGTTGTGAGGAACAAACGAAATCTCATGCTGTTTTTTCGACATTAAATTCCTTGTCCAGTAATTATATCAAAAATTTTTATTGATAATTTTAACTGGTTGAGCAATTCTTGGCTAAACCACTGAAACTGATGAGACGATAGAAACCGGAGAGGAATAGTGCAGAGGAAAGTTTGACAGATATTAATCGTGCATTAGTTGAATGAATAAGCAGATAAGCAAATATTTCTTTAGTGTCAAGAAAAAAATCGAGATGGTAAATTTTTTGTTATAGTACAAGAATTTCTTGTACCTAAGAGTACTCTTGTTTTACGCTTGTTTACGAGGTCATAAAAAATTTTCTAGACAAATATTACCAACTCCTGACCAATTTTATAAATTTGTTGATTAAAAATGAAAATTGTGCTACTGCAACAGTCTTTGGAAAAAAGGAATATGAAGTCGAACACAAAAATATGATATGCATAGACTTATATTGGTGTCATTTAAAGTTTTCATGAAAATTATATTGTATAAGTTGTGTCATCAGGTGATAGTTTCCTACTTTCAGCAAAAAAAAAGTAGCGCCTTAGTCGGCCAAATTTTGCAAAATTCTCGATAACACGATTGCTATCAACGACAGATTACGAACATCTGTGCAACAGTGGCATAGATTTTATGCTTTCAAAACCGAAATAGAATCTCATGTGACAAATTACCTATCAACCTAAATTGGTATTTTTAATCGAAGAAAAAGCAAAACGCAAGCACCGTAAACAGTCGAGAAGTCCTGTTTGCGTGTCGCCAAAGTCGTTTTATTTATGAATTTGTTGTCCAAATCGACAGTAGCAAGTCAAAGTACTTATTTCGATTTCTTGACCCTAAATTACTTTTCTGTCTTGAAATTTCAGTACTCATTCAATCTTGTTTTGTTTTTTGATAATCTCTGTTTATTGAGGCTGTGATATTAGCAAAACTTATAATAAATTCCTTTTTTTGTTGAGAAATGATATGCTTAAAAGATATTAGCAGAAGAATGAGAAGAAAGAGCTGCATGATAAACTCGCTATTAAAACCTACTGATTTCTGTTCCTTCGCTGGATGTTTCTGGTCGTAGGTGCTCCAGTGTAGCATTTTGAACAGTTGTAAAAGTCAGAAAGTACAATTTCCAGTAATTTTAATAATTTACTTTTACACGTAATTTTGCGTAATGCAAACTTTGTAGATGCCGGCTTTAAGCAGTACTGTCAGCTACTGTTGAGTCAAGTCTATTTTGCTAAACTTCACCTCTTTTTCAGTCTGCATTATCTTTAAAAAGTATTAGACTGCTGAGGTTTTTGAGCTGAAGCTGCAAGCAACTGGGCGCTTCAGAAAAACGACGCTTCTTTTTAAACATCTTCTTAAACTTTTAGTCTGGGTAATAAACGAAAATATCAACAAAAATTTATTTATCCCGTTAAGTTTTATAGTTTTTTTAGTGTAGGTAAACAAGTCCCACTGTCTTGTTGAGCAAGAAAGGCTACTCGAGAGTCTTTGACAGCTAAGTTATATAAAATTACTCGCCATATATTTAGCAGTACAAGCGCATGGGTAGTTGTGGTACGTCATTAAGCTGTCTGCAGTAAAACACATAGCAAACCGGATGAATACAGAGGAAAGAACGACGATGACTAAATAAGGAAGTAAAAAACTGAAGAGTTTTTTAACCGACAAAAATCAAAGTTTAACCTATAACATTCCCGAAAAAAATTTTTTATTGGGTTAGAGCATGTTTAAAAAACAAAAGGTTATTTTTTGTTTGTTTAAGGGACTTTTGTAATGCTCAATCAACAAATAAAATCAGTCAAAAAAAAAAAAGGAATTATAGACTGTTTCTTGATTCTTAGTCACAAAATACTTTTTTTATGATTAATGTGGGTGGAAAAAGCTGTTATCTTCAGAAACTAAAGTGATTGTTAAGGACCTTGTAGCGGCACCATTAGGTCAGTGTCATTCGCCGGTTCATCATGCACGCCGTTCACGATCCAGTGAGTTTAATTGTCATTTTTCTGAAAATTTAAATAAATTTTTTGACATCTTCTCAACTAATTCTAAAGTTAAAGATTTTGTCTATAATTAGTAATTTTTGCACAAGAGGCTTTGCCTGGTCCTTATGGTGAAGATCTTGAAGCAAAAAACTTTGGATATTCTATGTATTTGTTTCATAATGAAGAGGTTATGATCACTGGTAACGTAGAAGAGGTATTTATGTCCAGTAGGCTAATTGACAGTCTAACGGTTAAGTAACCACCAGTTGTAAAAGACCTACTTGGTTTAAGCTCTCTGCATCACTATTACAGTGATAACAAAATATTGCGGATCCTGTTTACAGTCATGGCTCTATTACAAATCTATTTTCAACAATTTTTTTGATTTCAACTTTACAAAACAGAATTTGCAAATTAAAGATATACTGAATGATGAAATATATTCGTTGTTGTAAAACTGACAAATTAATTTTATAAGGTAATTAGCTGCTAATTACAGTTATCTAGTTTTTTTTGTCAAATTAATCAGTCGTTTACAAATGCAATTATAGCGTAATAGAAAAATATGCTTTGTTTTTTATTTCTTTTTGTCTTCTGAAGACTAACGCATTGAAAAAGGAATATTTTTTTGGTAAAATTTTAGTAGAAAGGACAAGAGGGAGCTGCATCAGCGAAAATTGTGTCAGATGGTTATTTTTGGTTTACTCAAGACAGTAGAAAAATGTATCAAAATAATTTCTAAGTTTGAGTAGGTGATCTTTGAAAAAAAATGGTTTTTATCACAGTTATAAAAGTACTTTTTAATGGCAAAAAAAATGGTCTTAATGGTACAAACTAAAACAGCGTTTCTGATTTAGCTGCAAAACTGTATTAGCATTAAAAAAAATTTTTTTGTCAACGATTTATTCAGGCTATCAGTGGACATAATAGCACTAAAATTGCACTAATTTTAATACTGTCAATCAATCACTTGACAAAATCAACGACAGTTTTTACTTTGTTGTTAGTCGCCTGAAGAATATGCTGTTAAATCATTTTTACTACTCTTTTTTCCCCCGCAAACAACAAATATTTCGTTATCAAATCTTCGGAAAAAGACGAAAGAAAATAAATAGTAAATGTGAAACTTCAAAAAGCATACTTTTACAAAAAACAGCATTTATTTACAACCATTTAAATTTTAATGTATTTCATAAGATTAACTTTTATCAACAATACTGCTACTCTTTTACCGCCAATTAAGATTAAATAAATAAAGATGAAAAAATGTTGTAGTTTGTAAATACAGTTTGTCTGTTTAGCATATTCCATTTGTTCATCCTTTACACGAACCGTTACGAGATGGTTGTAAAATAGAAGTTCACGGTGAAGTCGAAGAAGGCCACCATGAGTCAGTTAAAAACTTTTTTTAACAAATACTATACTTTGTCTCTTCTTAACTACTTGATGTTGTTATTTATTAACGCTCCAGAAAAAGAACAAAAGAAATATGCGCTAGAAACGGCCAGAAGAAACAACAAATGGAAAGTTTTTTTCTTTAGTGTTATTTTAAATTACACACCAAAATTTTTGCAGAAATTTTGCAATCGAATTGTTGTCTGGACCACATATTGTTTTGCATGTAAACTTCCGATTTCTTCCCGGAGAACATGTATTAGTTTTGAATGCAGCTGCACACGGTAACTGGGGAGAAGAAGTTCGAACTACAAACACATTACATCCTGGGCAACATTTCAACATTTCTGTAATTGTTCACCACGACCATTACGATGTAAAAATTTTTTAACTCCACTGTAACACATACTGAATTTATTTTGCTGAATCTCATCTTGAACTAATTAGCTTTTTTTAAGAAAAAATAATGGTTATTTAAGACATAGAAAAAAGAAAAAGGTTTCAAGTAGAAGTGCTCAACTAATTATTAAACTTAACGTTTCACTATTTACCCAACTACAAACTTGGCATTTATATAAAAGTAAAAGTGGCTTTTAAAAAAAACGTTCTGTAGTCAAAATTTAAGCAATAAGAATTTAGTTGCAAAAAAAAAAAAGTTCCGAGATTTAGATTGAAGTAAATGGTGAAACAGTCGGCGAATTCAGACACAGATATCCAATTCATACGGTACAAGCACTTGGAGTTAAAGGAGACGTTCATGTACACAAAATTGAATTTCACGGCTTTCACTTTGAACGACGTAAGTTACAGCCGGTTAATTACCGGACTTTTTTTGTCGTCTTTTTTGAAAAGAAAAAAAAGAAAGATTCTCAACTGGCACCTAAAATCTAGCAAATGTAATGGCATATCCTGAACATAACACTGAACAGTTTGTTTAGTAAACAAAAACTTGACGGCTAAAAATATCAGGTTAACTAAGTGATATGTTCCGTCATTTGCCTGAAAAATAGTTTGTGTATGGGCGTAAAAGAATACAGTTGATTGCTTAGTTAATGTGGTAGACAAACTTGCTGCTTTATCTACAAACAACCAATTTTTTAAAAATTTTTCTATTATTGACTAAAGTGCGCTAATAATGTCCAAATAAATAAGAATTTTAAGCTTGGGAAGGCGATTATGATTATGGCCATGGAGGTTATTTTGGATATGGCACACCCGACTATGCTCCACCGGTAAATTTTTGTAAAATTTCGGGTATGAAACTGGTCAGATATAAGATCGGAAATTATTTTTAAACTTTTTTTTATGGAAATAATAGACTTTAACTGAAAGCAGCTTTGCGATTATACTGCATAAATTAAATCAGTGCTTTTTTTTTCAGATTTTCGGTGAAGATCATCCACATCATCACCACTTCTGCTGTAAGCTTTTAGCTATTGTAAAACATTTTCAAATTCTGTTTACTACAAGGAAAAAAACTAGATAAAAATATTCTTTTCCAAAATTTAAAATTTTACAGCATTTATTTCATCTTCAAATCAATATTGCACCTTCTTTTCAAACAACAAACAAAGTGTTCTATGAACCTCTGTTTCAGAGAAATATAGTATATTGCTGTGCAAAGTTACAGAAATACGCAGTGGATTCCGCGCTTCATTGTTCTACTTTATCACCAACTTTATGTAATAATGAAGAGAATTCAATAAATATTTTAATACTGCCAACTCATGTGATAAAACAATGACAAAAAAAAACAGTAGTTCTGTAAGTTGCACTTATCTAGCACTGAAAAAAAACAACGTAATTGTAACAAATAAACTGGAGTATACTAATCAAGTTTTTCTTAAGCAACGCTGTTAAACCGCATTAAACATCAAAATGTTTAGCAGTATGCTAAATTTGTTCTGCTCTTACTGAGATATATGACTATAAAATTCAGTTCTTCGCCAGTTATAAAAATCTAAAGAGTTATTCCAATATATCTTTTACATTAAAAACATTCATAAAGTACCACGCACTCAAAGTTTGCACAATTAAAAGGTGTACTTTTTGCGTGCTAAAAATAACCGAAACGTTTTTCGCAAACTAACTTCGTTAGAGTAATCAGCAGTAAGAAGAAAATTTAGAAGTTATAGTTAATTTTTTTACCAACTCGAATTTGCAATGCTGCCAGCTTTCACACTCTCAGAAGTTCCAACAAAAAAATACAGAGAATTTATGCTTTAGTTTTTATTTTATTGTAATTAGTTTTATTATAAAGCATGTTATAAAACGACATTATTTTTTGTCTCCTTTCTGTTATTCGCTTTTTTTGATGGAAATATTATGTTCGAAAAAAAATCGATTTTACTAAACTGTGGAAAGCTAATTACAGGAGAAAATTACCATACCGACAATTATGTTCGTAAAAGAATTGAATGTTTTTTAAATCACTGTGTAGAAATTGTAAATTGTAAATCAAAGAGTGTTTATCAATGACAGTTGTATAATTGTCAACAAGAAATAACTCAGTAGACCAATTAACCAAAATTATCTATTCTACTTTTATTTTGAAAAATAATAAATTTTTTCAATCTTAAAATTGAACTTTACGAGCATTTAGACAGAAAATAACTTGCTTTCTTGTCTCTTGGCTAAAATCTTTCGCAGTTATCTAATTTCTGTTTGATACCTCATTTCATCTTAGTAATTGACTAAAATACCAACAACATTATACACTGTTATAGGATCAGCATTCTATAACAGTTATTCTCTTCCAAACTTATTCTAGTTAAAAACCATTGCAAAACAGAATACTGCAAGTTAACAAGTTTTTAGATTCAAATTCAGAGTTAAATTTAT